GTGATGACTTTGGCAGATGGGAGTGAGAACAGGGATGATGGTTTGGAGGTCTGGCTGTGGTATCTGAAGAGCTTTGGGAAATTGGACACACACACGCTGACATGCAGGACACCGTGTCTCTGCCTCCACTTTCAGACATGCTCTGTCATGTGTGAATGCTGAGCCAGGCTCACATGTACACATCATGTTTGAAAAGGACCACAGAAGTGCTGTTTTTACCACAGAGGTCCGTGTGGCGGCTGCCTGCTAACAAGCTCCCTGACGCTGTGTTTACGACGTACAGACCAGGACCGCTGACGGGTTTGGTTCTGTTGCTTTTAAGCAGCAGATCCGACTTTGAAGCGAGACCTTTCTGTGTTACACTCTAATTCATTTGTTTAACCACAAAGAGGAGAGGGAAGTTGGTCTGACTTCTAAATCAGAGACCTATACGTGCACGTACATAACAAGCCGTGCTGCCGGGTCTCACAGGCCGATGCTGGATGTCATGCCAGCATTGCACCTCCGTCCACATCAGTCTGACAGCAGACAGGCCTTTCCCATATAGACATGTTACCCACCAACGTCACAGAGGGCTATTTTCTCTGTCGTCTGCATTTCTGTCTACACTCCTTCTCCTGCTGTCAATTAACTCCAGAGATATTTAGCTTCTAGAGAGGCAGGAGAAGAGATCATGTTTGGAAACCACATCCAGCCTGTTGACCTTATGAAAACATATTATTTTGCCACTGGCCCTGAAATAGCTGGCAGGCTGTGTGTATCTAGTGTCCGCATGCCTGTACACCTGTATGCATGTGTGTGTGAGGCTCCGTGCTGGTGTGTGAGTGTGTGTTAATATTATTTCCAAGCAAGTCCAGAAATAGCTGCAGGGCTGCTTAATCAGGTACTGTATGTTTGACTCAACATCAGTTAACTGGAGCACGGTGTGTGTGTGTGTGTGTGTGTGTGTGTGTGTGTGTGTGTGTGTGAGACACCGTTTTGATGGCTCTAAAATTAAAACATGAGCCAGCAGTGGATGATGTTTCCCTGCCTAAAGCACAAACACTTCACCAAACAGACTGTCAGCAAATGTCCCTGCTTGAAATAGGTCTGCTCAGGCTGTGCTGTGTATTTATTTTGCTTCACCATAAAATCTCCGTTTTGGTAATTAAATATAATGCATGAAGACGGACAGACTTTATTTACCATTTTTTCCCACAATAATGGAACTTGATTTGACCCGTTTTAGGATTCAGACTTTTAACTGAAACCAGGTGTGTGTCGGTGGTAAACAGTGTAAGACGGGCCGGCGACCCTCTGCTGCGGCTCCTTGTGGCTTTGGAAAATAAATAGTGAGTATTTTAATTTAAATGTATTTTATTTTAGCTCATTAGTTTTTAAAATGTAATTCTAAATTCGACGATTTTTGTGAACTTGCTCAAAATATGCGTCATAACTGCCGATGTGCGATGTGCAGTGGTGCCGCCTTGAGGACTTTCTCACTAAATCTGGCAACTTTTCAAATCTTCTTTGGCGATTTTGTTTTTTTGTCTTTTTTCTTTTTTTGGCTAAAGCGACTAGCGACAAATCCAGCGACTCTTTCTGGTGTTACTGGAGACTGTTCTGGTGTTTTGGAGACTCTGAGGTGAAAGCTGGTATCGTTGTGCCGTTCCCGTCCTCAGCGAGCAGCGGTGCTGCCGTGAGCTCCTCCGTCACAAAGAGCTCACAGGCGGTCAGCAGTCTGGTCAGCAGTCCAGCTGCAGGCAGCAGGACAACCAGATGCTGGTTTACTTTGCTGCAGGTGGAGGATTTAAGATCAGCTTTTATTTCATAAATACAAAGAGGATTCAAACAGACATTGAGTATTTTATTTAAAGGTAACCTTCAACCAGTGGCTTTTTGTTTTTGAGTTCAAAATGTTTTTGTTGCAGAAATAAGATGTTTTCTCTGTAGCAGTTCACTGAGTTCATAAATGCAACACACTAGTTTTTTTTTTTTATAAATAGCATAAAGGTAAAAACCATATATGCAGTGTTATCTTCATTTTAGATTTTTGAGTTTTTAGAGTTTTGTGGCTCCCAGTGTTTCCTTTTCCATGGAAACTGGTCCAAATGGCTCTTTAAGTGTTTAAGGTTGCCGACCCCTGGTCTAACAGAATGAACTACCTGTGATGCTGTCAGTAGATACTACAGTTTATTTTTTATGCCAGGATTTCTCTCTAGTCAGAACTCGGTAACCTGTGCTTGGAATTTGAAAGGTAAGACACTTGACTCTCTCGCCCTTTAAAATGTTTGTATTCTGAAGGGTTGAGAGGTTTCTATGGAAGAGGACCACTGACAGCACAGAACCAGTAGAGACAGAAGGATAGCGTCCCTTCACCTGAAGTCCACGGCCTGTTCTCGCTGCCTTTTCTTGAACTTACCTCTCGGTCCTCTTGACCCGTCTCGTCCTCTCTCTGTTTGCCACCGTTGTCTTTCCTTCTCCTCTCAGTGCTTCATTTGTCCTGAAACAAAGAACCCGGTTGAGCCTGAGAGAGCACCTCTGTACGTCTACACAACCAGATTGGATTTAAACATTTGAAGACATCTGACCTGGTTTATTTAGGACTACGTTCAGCTGGAGGTAGAGGAAGAGTGAACAGAGAGCTCAGAAATGTCTTTAGTGCATTATAAAAACTGTACAACATGTTTTCCAAGTGCCCACAGCTGAGACTCTACATACAATAGATATTTTTCTGCTTACATTTTAATCTGTTCTGTGAAAGCCGAGCCTGCAGTTCAGCCAGAAATACCCTGAATTATTGTCTTGTGACTGCTGTTCACAGCTGAGTCTCAAATGGCTTCCAAGTTGGATTTCTAGTTGGAAATCTTTAAATGAGACATGTAGAAGACATCTCCTGATCAAACCACATGTCACAGATGAGCAGTTCACAGGCCAGAGGAAGGACTAAATTCAGCACTTCTCTCTGATGGGGCCGTTTGTTGCTGTAATAACTGCTCTCATTTTGGGGATTTTATAAAAGACAACATGTCTTTTACAACAGCTGGCGAGTTTGGGGTTGAAGTGCAAACATGGGATGAAGCTGCACACTTTTGATTCCCAGATAAGAATCCAGGTGTAACAAAGAGGTGTACGACGTTCAGAAACAAGTTCTGGTTGGAACAAAACCTGGAAAGTTTCACTTCAACAGTAACGACGCTCTAATTCTGAGTAAATGTGCATCTGTTTGAAACGACTGCAGCCGTTTATACTGTATGCATGAATGCCCGTTGTGTGTGTGTATGTGTGTGTGTGAGTGTGTGTGTGTGTGTG